TTTCGGGTCTAAGCATATTCTAAGACTACCATCTCCTTTCTTTACCAAAACATATGAATTAACCCATTCGGAGTGACCTTTTACCTTTTCAATAATTTTTAATTTTTGCAAGTCATCAAGATACTTACAAAAATCTTGTTGCAAAGCAAACGGTACATTTCTTATTGGATTTACTTTAGGTGTAACATTCTCTTTAATTTCGATATGATATGGCTTGTTTAATTTCCCTATACCATTAAAAATGTCATATTTCTTAATCAATTGCGCATAATCATGTTGTACATTTTCAGTGATTACATTAATTGATTTCATTTCAACCTGATCATGAATTTTTACTATTCCTAATTTTATACTAGACTGTAGTCCTAATATTGAGTCATTTTTACCTTCAACTACATAAAATTCTAAATTCCTATGTAATTTGTTTTCAAATTTCACATCTAAATAAATTTTTCCCACAATCGGAATTTTATGACCTGTATACGTCACTAACGAATCAGAATTTCTTACAATTTTACTTAAATCTATTTCACAGTTTCGTAAATAAACTACACTTATTATGTTTACACTTGCACCTGTATCTATTTTGAATTTGACCTTACTGTTTACATGTTTATTTATGGGTAGTTCGATAATGCAGTATTTAGTAGCGTTAGTACTTACTGAATTTATTGATAGATAATCAATTTCATTTTCTACCTCGGCCTGGGAAATTTCATTTATGGCTTTGTTTCTATATCTACAACATATAGCAAAATGATTAGGTTTTTTACATACTGTACAAATTTTTCCGAATGCGAAACATCTATTAATGGCATGATTTTTAGAACATCTGGTACAGTTGTGTATCGTGTTGTTGGTTAACCTCGACTTCGAAGTTGACGCTGCTACATTTGCGCGGGAATTTGCTCCATTACCATCCATTCTCTTTCCCTTTCTGATGGCGTCAATCATCTCGCTATCCTTATCCCCTGCTGTTGTTGGCGATGGCGTCTCCGTAATTTTCATGAGTTGCATATTCTTTTTCGAATTTTCTGTAATTACGCAGCACTCGATCACCTTATCTAACGTTTGATCCTCGTTTTGTATTCATTTCTCGCGTAGATGACTGTCTTTAATGCCAATTATCACCATTGTTTTAATTAGCTCATTTTTCAATTCTTCGGTCCCAAATTCACATTGGTTAGCCAAATTCTTCAATTGTGTTACATATTCTTCAATTTTTAGGTTATTCTGCCGGGATGTGAAAAATTTATATCTCTCGTATGTCAAATTTTCTTTGGCGTGAAGTAATCGTTGAATGCGGATTTTAACGGTTTTATTTTATTTTGGTCCTCTTCCGAGGAATTGAAATGTGTTGTAAATTTTTATTGATTCTTCACCCAAGCAATGCAAAAGTTGTGCACATTGCGTTTTTTCAGCTTTTTCGTCCAATTCCGTGGCGGTTGAATATATCTCAAACCTCTGGATCCAGCTTTTCCAATTTTCTGCCACATTCCCCGATAAATTTAATTGCTCGATTGGTCTTCTTTCCATTTTTATTTATTTTTAATTGTCCCGTGTTTAATTATCGACTGCGCCATGTTGTATTAAACGAGCAAGAGACGAGTTCAGACTGCTTTATTTAGTTACAAATATACAACCGTACGATTCTTAACAGTGTTGTCGATACTTAAATATATACCTAACAATATGCTAAATTAATTTCCTCCATTAAGACACCATTTTGCATATTCTTGCATATGGAACGAATATGTACCCCTTCCTCAGATAGGGGAGATTCTACAAATTCCATTACAATATTACTAGAGATATCATCTTGATGACGAACCACATCACGGCTATGTTTGGCTAATGCCATGGATGTATAATATAGAGAGGTGATCCGGCGGCCGCTCATCGCGTGGTTCATTTATGTCGTCTGCTAAGTTAGACAAGGACAGACAACTAGATTGGCGCGGCCTCGGGCGCGGCAGTTAAAGATTTACAATTTGAAATCACGTCAGTTGGTAGGTTTTTCTTTACAAGGACCGGAAAACATTATTTTTTATGCTAAGAATTCAGTGTAATACAGAAACTAAATATTTATTTTCTAAAACAATATGCACTTATGAAATTTGTAACTTTGATTTTTTCTTATTTATTGCAGACATCTTTCTATGTTTTCCTTGCTCTTGTCTGTAATATTGTTTAACTCGCATGCAGGTATAGTAATAAACCGCTTTAGCTATTACATCGTCCCGATGTTCTTGACACTGAAATTGTATTAGTTTGTTTTCGTGAACTGAAAAAAAATCTTCCAGTGTATTGTCGAAGACATCAACAGAGTCGATATGTTTAAACATCACACTTTCTAACTTCTTTAATAAATTATGAATAGGTTTATTGGGATGATTCAGCCATCCTCGAGATTTTAATTCAACTAACTCAGCTTCGGGAGCTAAAACATGAGTAGGTTTGGGATTATACAGCAGCTCCCGACAAAATTTGCAGCTTGATTCTCGATATAGCTTTTTACAAATAAAACCAGTTAAGTAATAAATAATGCAATCTAGTGTTTCAGGTATATCGACATCGTAAATAGGTGCCACGGTGTCTTCAGAATCCTCCCAAAATTCTCCTTCAAGAAGCCCATCTAATTTACCCTTGATTTTTTCAATATGCTGAGCTTTGTTAGCAGAGTCATTGTCACAAAAGATAGCTTTAAAATTTGTAATAGACAGCACCGTGTTTTGTGATTCGTCTTCGTCATTCGTGCAATTGCCAAATTTTGGAGGTTTCAGCAGCTTATAAGTCGATAATAAACGATATACATGCATAAACGTCACCATTGTAGGGTGATCATTATCACAACCAGCTTGTCTAATTGTTCCAAAAAAACGCTGCAATTTAAATACATTACCTACGTACACAATCAAGCAAAAAACCTGTACCTCTAAGGGATCTTGATTCATTTTGCTAGTAAGCACATAACTGAATGTTCGCGTTTTCAGAAGATAATTGCACAAATCCATAGTAGATGAAATAGTCACACGAAGACCTTCAGCAGTGGAGCTTGATAAAAAATGATCTTTTGTAATTTTTTTCTCAACTACCATATTCTCCCAATGGTTAATAAAATTTAAATTCTCTCGAAGTACCTATACACATATAGATTAAATGCATCCCCTTTTTAAAAATTTGTTAGAATTACTTCAAAATCTTTACTTCCACTGATAATGCCTTCACCACTACGACGGCTGTTCAAAACATCGAATAAATTATTGATTCTCCTGGTAAATGAAATTGTACAATCGGCATTTTTAAGTCTATCACAACGCCTCTGATAATGGATGAGACCTTCGGCAACAGAATTACTAAAAATCTAAAACAAAAGGAAATTATGACATATACCTATCACTACCTAATAATATTGTAAAAGTATGTAGATATGTGAAATTGATACCTGAGTTGCAAGTTTTACTCTCATTTTCATAAAACCGTTTGGATTTATATGCATTTCGGTTATTTTTGGACACACTCTTGTGTTGTTACTTTGTGTTTGATCTAGTTGTAGTAGAATTTTATAATACTCCCAAAGTATTCCACCTTCAGGCGTCTAAAAATCATAATTTAGGTAGATATGGTATACATTTTCATAACAAATACATACTATTAGAGCGTTGTTGTTCAAAAATCGGTTTCTTATGCACTTTATAAGATGAGGGGTATCGGAGAAAAAATATAGGTCTCTTGAATCATCCACTGGATGAATAACTTTATTAGTTGTGTTGGACAACTTCCCTGAAATTCCAAATTCCATCCACATCTTCCTATTTGTTGATGCACCATCACAAACCGTGCCATGAACTTCCGCTCCACAATTCTCCAATTTTTTTATAATTTCTAATACTAACTGTGCAAGGCAGCTTCCTTTCGTGGGACCCTTAGTAGCATACACTGCTATTGGTTGGGTAAAATTATCAGCTAATGATGACCACATAAATACTAAAGCATGGTCAGCCTGTTGGCCAGTGACTGTTTTTGATGTATTTTCATGTTCTGCGCCGAAATCTTCTGCTCCAATTAATTTAAGATTTTTTACATTTAGCTGAATATTAACGCGCACCGACATCTCATCAAATATCAACATACCTTGCCTTGCAAATTTATTTTTTTCTTGTATTTTCATCTTAAATGCTTGGAAAAATTCTTCGTCAAGTCCACATTTGAGTCTTACTCGCGACAAATATGTACGCACCGTTGACACAACGGGAAGAGGTACGATTTCATTTTTTCTTAAAAAAGCGTACGATTTTGGGCTTTTAATATGAAGAAGTAAACACATAAGTAACCAACTAGAAGAATAACGCCTAGACGTTTTCTTTTTGTACCTAGCCATCTTAATGCATTCCATCAGTAACATTTTTTGAGCGGAAGGTAAATTTTCCATCTGATCAATTTTTTTCTGCACTTCTTCTTCATTCAGGGTTTTCATTTTCGCTTTAGCTTCTTGTAACTCCTTCCTTGCTTGAATTAGTCTATAATGCAGTCTTCGTTCACGTTTACGACAGTTGGCTGAATTTTTCAAAAAGCGGTCTCGTCTCGACATGGTGACCTTTGTGACTTTTTTTTTAAATAAGCGATTGCTTTTTTGGCATTTTTACACAAACAACAGTAGTTCACTCCTTTGAGTAAACGTTCATCGGTAGTATTCAACAGGTAACTACAATTTCCATGTCTCACGCTTTTAGAAAATTCATCTTTGTGATATCGTGTCCTGCTGAAGTCTATGCTATCTCCGATTATTATTATTAATCCGTAACATATAGGGAGTAGATCAAAATCAATCAACATTTTTTCAAAATCAGCAATCGAATTAATCTTACTATTTGAATCTTCAGTTAAACGGACATGCAAATGTTGAAAAATGAAGAAGTTTATAAAAGATTTACACAGCACAATTTTCTTTGAAATTACGATATCATTTTCTACAACATCTCTTTAAAAAGTGCTATAATGTCTTTATGGAATTGTAAGGTCCACGACGCAGACGGCAAGGTAACGTTATTCTTCGACAAACTATCGAATATTGTGACTAACCAAGATTTATTATATTCTGAGTTATTGCCTTCGTATATCTTTTCAACTAAAAGGAAATTAGAAATCAGTGGAATAACTTAGGCAATGCAATTTAAGTTTTTAACATTCCCACAAATGATTAAAAGACCCATCAAAAAAGAAAAAATTGGCGAAAGCTTAACTTTGGACAGGGATTTTAAGTGCATTTTCAGTCATGTTTATATAAATATCAGACAAACGGGCATACGGACAGACATACGGGCTCCGTACTGCTCAATAACTCGCCGAGACCTATCTAACGGCACCTCAACCAAGCCTCTAGCACTTACCGTTCCGGAGATATAAAATATCGGACAGACAGACAGACAGACAGAGAGACAGGCAGACAGACATTCCGAGCCTAATAGTGCATTTCAGTTTTTTCTGAAAATGCACTAAAAACAGAACTCTGTTTCTGGGCAAGAATTTGACAAATACCTACCTTCATTGGCACCTAATTCATTATTTTTTTTACGTTTCAGGTCATATGTACATTCGCCTCGTTCGATTACCCTCCTTTTCTTTACCGGCTTTTTCGACAAATAGGTTGGACAATTAGGCCAAATAGATGGTACTGCATTTTCTCTCAAGCGCGGGATTTTCAGTGCATACTAAACAGAACAAAAATAACATTCCTACAGTAGGTAATTCATGGCGACCTGCGGAACTGGTATTTACTTCCTGAATTTAAAAAACTTACTGAATATGTTTCTGTGACGACTTCACGTATGACATCGTCTTTAAAAAAATGTTTTTCGCACAAAGCGTCATTAATCGTTAATTTTTTATCCGCTCGGGGAATACGTTGACTCCACTCTTCTAATTTGTTTTTAGGCACTTTAAATAAGGATACTTTCTCTGAACTTCCGCTATATCCACTGTGACATCCAGGTGCAAAACAATACCTTCGTGCCATTGTAAAAAGTTGCAAAAAAAGCCCATACACAAGTTTAAGGAAGTGCGACCGTATATCACTGGCGCAATGCAGTATAAATGCACAAGTGATTTCGCGCCAAGCTAGTTGTCTGTCTCTGTCGCTGCCTCTCCCTCGCACACAGACCACACTCAATCGCCGTTTGTTTGCACCGAAAACATAGCTCGCCGGATCACCTCTCTATATTATACATCCGTGGCTAATGCTGAATCTGGTAAAACCAGTTGAAATGATGCAAACATCGCTTTGGAGTCTATTTCAATGCTGTTCTTGAGATTCTGATGGGACAGGCTTGTAACAACAGAAAGTAGTGATTGGCTCGGCTTTTTTATATTGTTGTAGATTTTCATCTTTTAATGTTGTCCAATGGCACTTTTTATCGGTGGTTGAAATTTTTTCCAACGCAATGATATCATTCCTAAAAGAATTATAATAGAGTAAAAAATGAATAAAAAAAATTTGTACAGCAATCACAAAATTAAGTTTACACCTAGCAGCTTTTTTAGACAATAATGTATACTTACCGGTTACAATAAAGAAGAACAGCTAATATGTATGCAACATTCCGATGCTCCTGCTTTACACGTACATGTAAATGTAACAGGCGTAACTGAAGTTTTGCATATTGTTCCTGTTATTGTGTGGGGTGGTGAAGACAATGCAGATGTTTGTAGCACTAATCCATAAAGTGACCAAACCCTACTATCTTTATTATCTGTAATGGTTCCACACAAAATTATTCTCCATCAGTAAAATTTTTTGAGCTTGGAGTACACTTCCCAAACGCACAAATGTTTTCCAATTTTACAAAAGGCATGTTAGACTGAATTCAATTACAATAATCCAAATAACATACAGATCCGAGGGGGTAACCACTCAGGAAATGTGGTGTACACACGACGGAAATGTGATGGAAATGTCTAGAAATGTAGAAATGTGGAAATGTTGTAGAAATGTGGAAATGTTGTAGAAATGTGGAAATGTAGTAGAAATGTCTAGAAATGTAATGGAAATGCCTGGAAATGTGGCAATGTCTAAAGCCGGGAATACATCTGACAAACGTTGCCGTTCGTTCGCGTTCGTTCGCGTTTTCACCCATTCTCTGGCAACGTTTGTGGTAACAGTCATGAGCGACAGACACGTGCCGAGCCAGTGCATACGCTAGCGTTCCACACATTCGCGCGCATTTGTGCTATTTTGTAAAAAATTATTTTTTGTTATTGAAATGTGTCATTCAAATCTGATACTAAGTTCATACCATCGTATGTACCTCTACTTCTATATAACTCGTGCATCCATACACTTCTCTGTTTTTTTTTCTTTTTTTCTTTTTGTCGTTTTAAAATTGTACTTATAACAATGTATGAAGTACTCGCTATAATTAACTGATTATCACTCATTGTTGAATTAAATTTCCCCGTAACAGTTAAATCGACCTTTTCGTACTAAAACGTAAGCAGACTGCACCTAAACGCTTTAAAACGCGTCTACATAGCAACGTTTGCTGTCACTTGTGGCTTGCCATTTCTTTTTGATCTTTTAATTTTTACCGACATCCGATGGAAAACATTCATTCGCACTGCTAGTCATTTGTACCATATTGAAATCGCTGCGAATCGCGGTCCACACATGGCGAACGCAAGACATAAATGTTTGGCAACGCGAACGAATGACAACGTTTGTCAGATGTATTCCCGGCTTTAGAAATGTAGAAATGTGCAATTCAAGCACCTCTTTTTTTAACTTGCGATTCTGCGAAATTGTACGCCTCCTCATTTCCAGAGTGCAAACGCGTTGTTTGAATTTTATTTTAATACGGCACCGCATACGCAAAAGCTGATTTAGTGTGTTTTTACACTTATGAACCGATGGTATTAAAGTTGATAAGTAACTCAAAACAATACCACCTTTTGTTTCCATTTCCACGTGTGGCGCGCGTTTCATTCGCTGAAGTGTTACGTTTACGTACAAGCAGGTACATCCTAACATGGATCTTAAAAGTTATTTTTAGTGTTTATTGTAGTTTCAGTAATTATTGTAAAAACTTTATGCTGCAATTTACTTAAATCTCGAACTAAAATGTCGAATACAAATTTAACTACCGCGGACAACCGTGTGGAACACTGTGACAGCGGCGACGCATTTATTGAACTGTTACAACAGCGGCTTCAAATTCAGATTCCCCCGTTTTTACGTAATATAATTGTGATGGCTAGTTTTGATAATAGAATTGGTCTCAAAAACTTATCCGACAAGGAAATAAATGAATTAGAAAGTTTTGTAAACACCGATCTTCATCAAATAATCGAAAAAGCTGATTATGAAAGTTATTATGGGCCTGTATTCAAAGAGCGCCCTGAAAATTTCAAATTCCTTCCTGGACAGAAAAAAATTCTTTTGGCCATGAGCGAGGCTAGTAAGAAGCTCGTATGTCCTGCATGTGGTGTAAAACCGTCGGTTTTGATGCCTACGGCAAAAGCGTCGCAATCAAACGAAGGGCATACACAAGCGGAAGTACACGCTGGTCGTCCAGAAAGTAGTTCTAGTAGCGAGTCGAGAAGTGTATCAAAGGCATCTCTCGCTGCACCTGAGGTAGGCGTACAAACAAGATTAAGCGAAAACGTTCAACATCAACTTCTATCCTGGATTACCGTTTTGCGCCAAAATCAAATTAAGTAAGAGCATTGACTAATATTCCCCCAATTAGTCAATGGTAAGAGTGAAGAACAAACATTTCATAACAAAATTAAGTTTGATGAGTTCCGCTGTGTCGAAGATGGTGATGGCCTTTTAAGTTGCCTTATATCGTGTTTAATGTGTGAACAAAAAGTTAAGGTAAAAGTTTTTATTAAAATAATTTAATTTCACAACATAAGCGTTAATTGCATAAATATAAAATATATAGCATTTTTTAACTAAATATGGTTGTATGTTATAACTTTTTCCGAGTTTTTTTAAATTAATAATAAGTACACAACTAGATTTTTTTGTTTGAGATTAAAGTTGACGTAAACATTATTTTTTAAATGCTAGTTAATTTTGTGTTATTAACTTGTGCTTTGTTTTATTGATGCCGAACTATAAGCACGTATATGCAATGCGCGGCGTTGTTTTTTTTTTTTAGAAACCATTAACTATGTATCATGTAATATAGAAATGTATAACAATTTCAGGTTAAACAGCTACAGAAAAACAAACCTGGTTCTAATTTATGCTTATCAAATTATTATCAACACGTGAACAAGCATTTGACTAAGAAAAGTAAAGTTCAAAAATCATCAATTAGTGGTTTAGGCTCAGGTAGCAGTCAAGTACGTCAATCAACAATTGAAAAATTTTGCTATGACGCCAGCCCGAGACGTAGTCGTCTTCTTAATATTGAGCCGAGTATCGAACCTAGTACCAAACAACAGCATTCAGAGCTAACTTCTCAAAATAATGACAATATATCTGTAGAAATAGTCGACCAGGTAATCAACGAAATTGACAACGAAATGTGCGAGAGTTCTTCTAATATAAATCCCGAGATAGATGATGAAGTAAATAATCTGTTCAAACCCCAAAAGAAAAGGAAAAAAGCGCTCTTGTCGAGTTCCTCTGAAAGTGACAAGGAAAGCCAGGATTTTCATAAAGGCGGAATTGCAAATATCGAAGAAATGAAAGGGGATTGCAATTCTGCCTCCAATATAACAATTTTGCCCCAACAAGTTGCAAATGACGTTGCAAACATAACTAAAGAGAGTAAGTGGTTGGCAACGAAGTATTCACGACAAGAAAGGAATCAACGTTTACGCCAAAAGACCCTCGAAGACGAACGACAAAGTTTAATAACCCACTTTTATGAACCAATACAGGCCATTGAAAAGATTATAAGAGAAAATGATCAATTGAAGATGATTATACATAAACAAAGTATGAAATTTTCCCTAAACCAGAACGAAGCGTCATCATCAAGTAAAACTATTTCAAATTTTTTAAAAACCATGATAGACACAGCTACGTCAAATGCTTCTAAATCTGATGGCGGAAACAGATATAATAGTTGTATTAAAAAATTCGCTTTATATTTGTATTTAATCGGAGGGAGGCGACAACCTCGACGACCATCCAGAATCAGAAAATACGGATGAGTCTGTTATTAGTTTGTCAGATTTAAATCTAACCAACATTCCTCTGGAACCTCTAAACCATAAGAGCCCATACATTAAAGTAACTTGCCAAGATGGAAAAGTCATTACGGTAAAAAAGAAGACATTATGCTGGTTATTTAACGATCAAACAATAAGGTATTTTTTATGAATAATCCATAAGTGTAACGCTCTATTTATAGATTAAGTTCGGACCGTCTTCTTCGAGTAAGAACTACACAACATCGTCCCAAGAGTGTATTTTCTTCTATCAATTTAATATCGGAAAATTATTATGCCGTATACTATACAGAAGCTTGGTATATAGGCCGTATAATTGAAATCTGCGATGACGAACATTACAAAGTTAAATTTCTTGAATTTCAACTGAGTTTTTTTGTTTGGCCTAAACAAAATGATATTCAAATGGTTGATAAGAAATATATATTTTTTGGACCAATTAAAATGATAGGTACAAGTAATCTAACAATTTCAGAAAATGATAGGCATGTAATACAAAAATTATACAAGGAACTAAAAAAAGAACTGAAATAAATGTTCACTAACAAAAAGGTTTTTTTTTTCTAGACATACCTACTTGTTATTCACGATCATATTATTCTTAGCACATTAATTTGAGTCAGAACAGTAACATAGTTTTCAATTTGACGTTCGTTACGATATTTGTCGAACCCTCGGTCGAGTCCTTGGTTACTGACTGCGTTACGGTTAGGTTTAATTCTAGATGATATTTTTCCGTATTAAAATATGCTAGTTTGAGAAAGTTGTGATACTGTAGCAGAAAAAGTACTGAATAGAAATTATATTATAAACCAAAATATTTAGAGTGATGACTTAATATGAGGCGCCGTTCAGGACATAATTATTTTTTTAAAATATATAATGTTTCTTCAATATATATAATGTTTTCATGAATATATATACAGTTTGAATAAATATATACCGAAATTCGTAAAAATATAAATATAAAAATTTACATTTAAAAATATATATATATTTCGTGCGTTAGAACTCCTATATCTTTTTGTGTACACAAAGTTATAAATTATATAAAGTCTAGTTGCCCCATCTGCCGTAAGAAGCGCCACCTGTAAGAAAATGGTCTCGCTAGGGTATGGCAACCTCGCATTACGTTTAAAGTGTCAACAAAACAAATGGCGGGAAATATACCCAAACATAAAAATTAATTAAAATTGTGGTTAATTATTGCACAGATGTATGTGTGCGGATAAATCTGCAATAATTGTATTGAAGTTATGGAATTTGGGACAATCGATGATTTTTTTAATAGTTTGTTACAATGTTACGAAACTGTTTCAAGAAGTATATGTACCAGAGACATAGAAGTATTACGTCCTAAATTAGTAGAAATTGAGGATTTTTACACAGTTTTATATATATTGTATTCCCATGTTACACATTGTGACCTAAAAGAACACCTGTATACAATTTGTGAACAACTGATATTCAAATATCGAGAGATTGAGAATTTAGATTGTGAACATAGGAATATTTCTCTCGGTAATTATAGCTTAGATGTTTTACATGTTTCAAATAATATTGGGCGTCCAAGGTACAATTTAACTCGAGAACAACTTACAACATTACGAAACTCTGGTTTAACCTGGAAAAGAATATCAGACTTACTTAACATGTCTGTACGTACTCTATATCGACATCGAAAAACCATGTCATTTGAAGATAATCGGGAGTTTCTCACAGACGCTGAGTTGGATTCTATGCTACATAATATTTTGTCCGTAACTCCAAATGCAGGTGAAACTTATGTTCTTGGGAGTTTAAGATCAAGAAACTTTCAAATTGCACGGTGGAGAGTACGAGAAAGACTTCAAGCTATTAATCCCATTCGGATAAGTTTACGAAGAACACATGCAATTTGCAGACGAACATACAGAGTGAAAGGCCCTAATTATTTATGGTGAGATTTTGTAACTTGTGAAAAATACTGTGATTTTCAGAAATCTTCAGGTAAACTACTGGTTGTATTTACCGATCTATTTGTTACACAGAGCATGGCAATCAAGGTGAATTATGATGCTTTGAATTCAACCAGTTGGGTACTTGATTGAAATTCTGAAAAACCCAATTGCCATCTCTGAATTTAGTCTATGGGGGCTTTACATATTAACACTTTTTTTTAAATTTTAGGCATATGGATTCAAATCATAAATTGACTACATTTCGATTTGTATTTCATGGATGTATCGATGGATATAGTCGTTTAATTATATATTTGAAATGTTTGCCAGATAATACCTCACAGAGTGTGTTAAACTTATTTAAAATTGGTGTTGAAAAGTTTGGACTACCAGTAAGAGTTCGTGGAGACCATGGAACCGAAAATATTCTTGTTGCAGAATATATGTTAAATGAACGTGGCATTAACAGAGGAAGTTACATAACGGGGCGATCTGTTCATAACCAACGCATAGAGCGATTATGGGCAGAAGTAAATAGAGTTGTCTCTAAACATTATAAACAACTTTTTATTTGGATGGAAAATGAGAGCCTATTAGACGAGCTAAACGAGGTTGATCTGTTTGCTTTGCGGTATATTTATTTGCCTCGTATTCAAAACAGTCTAAATGAATTTGTAAGTCAGTGGAACAATCACAGTTTGAGTACAATGAATGGATACACACCTCTACAATTATGGACTATGGGATTAGTTGGAAACAATTCTGATTTGTTGGAAGACGAATTTTATGTTCAAGACTATATATGGATCTGATCCAGAAGGTCCAATTGTTATTCAAACGAACAATAATGTTGTAGTTCCCTTGCCTGAACAACACTTTTTAGAAGTGGAAGAACAATTAAGAAATATTGTAGCAGACCCTTTAGCAGAAGATGAAATGCAAGGTATCTCACTGTATATTAGAGTACGTGAATACATTAATTCATGTTTGCAGTAATTTATACTGTGAGCCATTCTCAAAATGAAGTTCGGTACCTATGTTTGGTTTTGTATAATGTTTATTGTGTTCAATAAATTTGTTAAGTATAAAATGTATAATAAAATCAAATAAAATGTTATAACTAATTTTATTTCAAGCATATAAACCAATGCTATTTAGTAACAGTCATAACAATGTAGTATCCAATTACATGTCGGTAGGTTTAATAGCACCAGATCACACGCAATCTTTTGTTTTGTACATATTTATTGCACTAAAAATAAATTGTCATGTACCAATTCACAAATGAAACTCATATACATACAGGGCGACTGGTTCATATACAAACATATTGGAGGTCATTTGCAGTTGTATTAGCCAAACATTTTTCGAATTTATTTACAAAACAACAAAATTGGGCATAGTACTTAAGACGCTAATAAAGGTCAATTGTGACTACTTCACTAACTCGTCACATTCATATAGGCATGTTTAGGTTAAAATAACTACAAATGACCCCTATAAACATATCCTTCAATTTATATGTTTATGAACATACTGTGTTAATTAACACAGTGTTTGTCAAAATAAAACATATCATAGATAGGGATTTTTTTCATTAATTCTAAGACAGCAATCACATTTTCTTTTTGAATTAAATTTTAATTAAGCAATTCCAAAGTCTTTTGAATTTCCAATCCCAAAATCCATATGATATTTAAAATCATCAAAATTTGTATGACATGTTGGTAAATATAATTCCAGTCCGCATGTGTTAGCTTTTGGATACATCATTTTATCATCATGTTGAAAACGAATGTAAATTTTCGTTCCAAAGCCCAAAGCTGGAACAGTGTCAGCTCCCGTTACAAACACCAACAATTCTTCCAGACTGCAATTTGAATTTTCTTCTGAAAAACCATCAGCAATACTATAGGAATGTTTTCATACTTATACTCACCTTCACAGTCCAATAAGTAATCTCTCCAAAAGGCTAGAATTCTGTTTTGTGTTTGTCTCTTATTACTTCCTACTTCACTTAGCATTACGGTTGGTAGTTCTTCTATTATTGTGTTATTTAATTTAGATTTATTGTCACATACAATATCTTCAAATAAAATCGGATGGTTTTGAAGAAATTCTAAGACATTGCAAGTTTTTAGTCCATCGATTAATTGGTCCAAGGCAGGTTTTGTTCTATATATGTGGTAGAACTTGACTGTTGCTAAAAACAAAAACAATTATAACAGAAACACTACATGCGTTTTAATATAGATTTATGCTGGCAGCTTTTTGGTTACAAACATCCTGGGTTCGAATCTTATTGGGTCGAGTATCGAGAGTAGCTATCAGCTAATACTTTTCCCACCATAAAATAAAGACATAAAAAAAATAATTATCTTTAATTAATTAACTGTGATCATTATTTAGTTGTCCATCACATTGGTACATTGGTACACCACTGCTTTTAAATTAATGACATTTTTACCAACTTTAGAATTGTTTTTAATTCAAACAGTCTGCAATCATTTACCTTTACCCAGTACTGGTCACCAGAGTTGGACTGGGTCAAGCATAGAGTGACCCGGTGACCCAGTTAGTTTACTGACCCAGTGACCCAGTTGACCCGGTGACCCAGTTTGACCCGGTGACCCAGTGACCCAGCTTGACCCAGTGACCCAGCTTGACCCGGTGACCCAGCTTGACCCAGTTTGACCCCAGTGACCCAGCTTGACCCGGTGACCCAGTTTGACCCGGTGACCCAGCTTGACCCGGTGACCCAGCTTGACCCAGTGACCCATCTTGACCCAGCTTTACTCAGTGACCCGTCCTGACCCGGTAGCCCAGTAATTAAATTATTGTTAGTTATCATCCAAAACAATTTCAAGTAACTTTTAATTAAAAAAAAACTTCCTCAATAATATTCGGCAACAAGCACGTAGCCCAATTTCATTCAAGAGAACTAATACCTAAAAAATCAAATGCATTTGTTTATAGTTTGTAGTCAAGTAGTCAATGAAAGTATTTAGAGAAAAGATTTATTTGGATTAAGCTAACTAGTAGAAAAAAATTAAATGTGAATGAACACCTGTAAGCAAACTGGTAAGCCCTGAAGCAAAGAAATAACATTATTCTAATACAATTCGGGACATGGAAAGTTTTTTACGGCAGTATTAAAGCAAACATCACAGAAATGGCAGTTGTCAAGCAATCGAGTATTATTTTCAACAAACCAGCATTTCATTTATTGCATAATCTGTACACTTGAACCGAGGGCACTGACTTAACTGCGTTATTCAATCAAACTAGGTGACTGGGTCGAATTGGGTCCCCGGGTGAAATTGCGTCGCTGGGTCAAACTGGGTCACTGGGTCAACTGGGTCAAACTGGGTCACTGGGTCAAACTGGGTCAAACTGGGTCACTGGGTCAACTGGGTCACTGGGTCTAACTGAAAAGAGTATGACGTGACCCAGCGACCCAGTTTAATTTAGTGACCCAGGTGACCCAGTTGACCCAGTGACCCAGTGACCCAGTCCAACTCTGCTGGTCACTGTAATTCACTTACTTACAGTGTTATTAACACTAACCGTTCTACTTTTAATTTCAAAGTGAATTTAAATAGTTTAACCAGGTGGTCCCTTTATTTTTTCAAATAGAAACCTATTCTTTTAATTGAATTTCTACATTTTATTTAAATATTGATCACTAGTTCCTGTAAAAATTTACTGTTTCTAGATAAATGAACCATCCAGTATATAAAATCCGAACCAAGTGATTACTCTAAATTAACACATGTAGAACCTTGCAATGTAATCCTATTATTGCACAGGAATAATGTAAATTAAAAAATTTAATATAGTTGCCAATAAACTCTTACCGTCAATTATTTCATCCTTCCTGGCGATCAACTGGTTTACTATATTAATACCGGCAATTGAAAATACGCTTTCGTTAAGCAGATATTCACGCATTTCTGTTTCATCATTAATATGTGATAATTTATTAATTTTTTCCAAAATATCACATTCCACAAACTCCTTTAATGGTTTGACAAATTCGACGCCTTTGGTTACCGCAACAAAGAGACTATTTGAAAAAAAATGAGGTCCAAGACCTGCGTGCACAATGCTCAAGGCTACCATGCGCCCAGCATCATAATAATATCTTTTGTCAAGTGCTAAAGCATCCAGTGAAATATACTTTTTGTCTGGACCCATAAACAAATTTGAATTTTTTAAATAATTCATCAATAATCGAAATAACTCCCTTGTAGGCCCTCCCATATCTACAGCACCTTCTGATTGGCCATCTATGTCACTGAATTTTACATCAATTTTTGCAAATGGATCAAATGAAGATCTTCTAATTGCACGTATGCAGCAATGAAACACATCTGCCCGGTATACATTAAATTGATTGGTTTTTTCCAATGAAATTTTACTGTTAATGTTTGTTAAGATCTCTTGCAAAAGGTTTGTTTCTTCACCACTATTGACTAAATTATCAGACTGTACATCAAATCCAGTTGGTGAACTGTGCCACTGATCAGTGAGGCAAACCCCGTCGTTATCATCAATAGGAGTTGGAGTATCCACGTTGTTCATTTCAGGTGTACAATTACTATTGTTATCAGCCAGATCTTCCATGGGTCTGATATAAACAACCTTCTGATGATAAACTCGTTTTAAAGTTTCTCCATTTAATTGAGATCCACTCTGCAAACTTAATTTCGTCAATCTTCCACTAATAGGCACTACAAATTCATATTCGGAATTCATTAATTTATCCGAAAATAATGAATAAATTAAATTGTTTAGATCTTCCAATTTCATGCCGTTGTGAAATTCCACATTCAAAAAAGCAAATCCTAAAAAATAAATTTCATTACTTATGGCCATTTAACATAATAAAGTTTAAGATGTATTTCAACCTACTAGGGGTGTGCAATATAGGAAACCGAACTCAAATCTTGATATTGTGGCGAATATTCTAGAAACCCCGCCCGACATTGAGGTGCCATAATAGATTAGTTGTTATGGTATGCCCCACGTCCTGTAAAGGTGCGCAAGATTGGTCTTGAATATTTAAATATTGAAGGCCGATCATGGGCACCCTTAGTGTGGTGTCACACTATGCGTTTTTACCGCTCCCGCTAAAACGGATGCGGTTTGACAGGATGAGATCTACTTGTCACACTATTCAGGTTTAACGGGATGCGTTTTTGCTATATTTTGGCAGTCTAAGTAGTGTCATGTCTCAATTATTGTTAAAGATGGTTTGTGCGCTTGAGGCGGAGGGGCTATTGCGAAAGCAGATATATTGTCAATATTAGATTGATCCTTTTAATTCAGGACGAGAATCTAATAATAGGTTCGCGAAGTTTTATGAAAAAATTCGAATGAACAAGAAATTTTTTTTTGTATATTACCGAATGTCCAAAAATTCAATTTCTACCCATGATTTCTCCCTACAGCTTTTATCTACATACTCTTTAGATTGTTTTTCCCACAGTGCAGTTTTTGCATGCACGCACTCGATGAATAAACCGACATCAAACATTGTAAACCTAACAAAACACCAGGTTGCAACGTTCAGTGTGACAACTGATGACAACCAACGTGCAACAACACGTGGTTTCATGTCATTGGGGTTGTCATGTCATCCTGCGCAGCGGCAGCAGGATGCGGTTGCATCCGGTTGGTGCGGCGAAAACGCATATATGTGACTAGTACCATTTAATAACGTGTGATATTATTATCCCGTCAAACAGGAGCGTTTTAGCGGGAGCGGGAGCGGTAAAAACGTGTGACACCACACTTATAGATCACAGGTTGTACAGTAACATAGTCACTGGTAATCTACTGGTAAGAATGTTATGTATGTTATCATAATAGAAATGATGTACCAAGTGCCCCCTGCTTTGTACATAAAATTCAGTACCTTAGTAGATTCTTAGTGCTGGAAAATATAGTTATACAAAATTTTGTGAAGGTATGTTGAAAAACTACAATTTTATTCATGTAAAACAAAAATAAATATTAAAGTTTGACATCCTGTAGCTCAATAATCATCAACCTTAAGTTCGTGAAGATAGCACGGTCACTTGAAGCGCTAAACACGGAACCGGCGCCAATCGTTAGTGCCTAATGCTTCATACCTTGCATCAGCTCAACCAGCCGTTTTCGAGAAAACGACACCCCCTAGGACAGTTCTGGCTTCCTACCCTTCTTAGAAGCACTCAGGATGGCTCCGACGTCAATCGTTAGTAATTTAATCAGTTCTTCCTTGAGTAATGATGAACGTGGCCTACAACAAGGATAGGAAGCCAGTACTGTCCTAAGGGGTGTCGTTTTCTCAAAAACCGCTGGTCGAGCTGATGCAAAGTATGAAGCACTAATAAACACTAACGACGGGCGCTAACCTCGTCCTTAGTGCTTCAAGTGTCCGTGCTAATCACTGACCTATCAACTTTTGGTACAAACTAAGCTAAATAGTAAAGCAGCAAGCCTTTTCTGAATATAATTCTAATTATTACCTGTGTCATACGCTTTAGCCTTTGCATGCCCTTTTAATGTTGAAAGACACCTCTTAGAAGTGACTAAAATCACATCTTTATAAAACGGTGTGGGTTTTGAGGAATTGTTTTCCCTGACTTGACCTCGCCCTTGATTTCGGGTTCTGTTCCTTTGTCCAATTGATGGAAATAAATTATGCAGCTCATTTCGTAGTGAACTACCGGAGGAAACACTGGCCCTGTTTACAACTGGCAATTGTGATTGTCTCTGTTGAAGCGGCAAGGTTAAGTTTCTTACTGTAGCTTCTAATGAATGCCGTAATTGCGGACTTTGTAATATCTCTTCTACTGTTTCCCTAATATCCATTTCGGTCATAAATTTAAAAAAGCTGAAATCAAAGATGCTTTGTTATTCTACTGCAATTACAATACCCAAAAATCAGCGCAATTGTAAAACGCTTGAAACAAATGAACCAGCGATAATACCAAGTTGCTAGGATCAGATTACATTTCGCGCGTTTTGCAATAGAGCAGATTTTGGCTTTGGCGTAATAGGTACTCTTACAGCTTATAACCAGTACCTTATTTTACCTACCTTTTAATGTGATTACTTTCAGGAGGATCGACGAATAATTAAAAGAAATTGTTCAATGCAGCGCTGTAAGTCTTGGATAAATATAACTAAACAAACTACAGCAACTTGGTGAAGTGACGAACGACAGGTGGTGTATTTATGTGAAATTGCGAAGGACAACAAAACACGTGTGTTTTATTTACATCTTAAATATAATGCGAGGTTGCCAAACCCACGTCAGACAATTTCTTTTCATGTGGCGTTCCTTGCGGCAAGTGTGGGAACTAGAGTTTATATAATTTCTAAGTTTTATGTGCACAAAAATATATAGAAGTTCTAAGGCACGAAATATATATATTTTTGATATAATCGAACATTTTTATATTTGTATTTCTACGAATTTGAGTATATATTTAGCCAAAACCTATATATATATATTCGTGAAAACATTATATATATATTGCAAAAACTTTATAAATTCAAAAAAAGTATTTATGTCCTGAACGGCGCCTCATAACTTAACCACTAACAAAAATTTAAGTAAAATAAAGTGCGGTTGAATGTACATACCAAATTTCTTGTTTGAAAATTGTTTAAATATTGTTTAATCTCATCATAACTTTAAAATCTTTTGAATTTAAATTTTTTTTAAATTTGAAAATGTAATAGAAATGGGAAAATGTTGTGGAAATGTGATGGAAATGTGGAAATGTCATGGAAATGTGGAAATGTCATGGAAATGTGGAAATGTCATAGAAATGTGGAAATGCCATAGAAATGTGGAAATTTAAAATGTGGTGTACAGCAATTTTGAGAGTGGTTAACCCCTCCTACAGATCCAAAACAAACACACTTCTGTTTACAAATTTTCTCCCAACTATAAACGCCATTTGTAAACGATCGCAACGCCTCTAGTGGTAATCTGATTCGCGAATAGGACTAGAAGAATTAAATTTGAGAGGAAGTGTTGAACTACAAATTTAACTTCTGACATATACTGTATACATGTATGACTCTGTGGTTTTTATCTTGGTCGTTGCTCGTTAAAATGTTATGCTATTCAAGTTAATTAGGGTAAGCTCGGGTAACTCCGTGATAAATTTTGTTTTGTTTATAATTTGACTTGGTCTTTTAAAGGTTTAAACTAAACGTTTATTTCACACAAAACAATATTCGCGTACATATACAACTGACAAAAAAAGCATATAATTCTCATTATCCATTATTAACAATAAAAATGCTTGTTAATAATTACTATTGGTAATTCCGTGATATATCAGGTTACTCCGTGATACAGTGTTGGTAACTCCGTGATATCACTTTTAAGCTTCTTTACGTAATAGCGGAGCTAATCAGAGGCACTTCCTGCTGCACATGCAGCACACATAAAAGCAACTGATTCATCTACGTATTGGCACTGACAGTGGTACCATATTAAACAAAAGGTACACTCAATCCACTGGGCACCATTTCTTTTTGAAACGTCTTCGTTCAAATTTTTTCTTTTTCTTGTTTTTAGGCTTTGACTTCTGAACAAAACAAAAAATAACTAAGTTCAAAAAAATCATTAAAAGCAGTGGGGCCTTAAAGTGGTCTCCTGACACTACCGACTTATTTTAAACCGATAACGCTAGGTATAGGTACTCTCTCGCAATTAACGTGACAATTTGAAAAAAAGACGGTACCTACTGAATTTTATAATGATAGGTACCTGTGACTATGTATATTATCATTTATTTTATGTGTTTCTCTTTATCATAACCGGGAAGGTCAAAGACAACTTGTTTAATTGGCGAATCTGCTGGTAACTTTATCTAGCTATTCTGCTATCATGATTAAAGGCTTGCTTTTGATGCGGCCGCTTGTTTTATATAGAATATACCTAGATATAAAATGTGCATTATAATACTTTTAAATAATATGTTTCGGTCACCGTAAACATACTGCTTCGATCATCGATCACAAATTAATTTTACAAGGGCCACATGCAGCCTCTGATACGGACCTACCGTAACCGTATATTTCGCCTGTTGCCCTCGCTTTGCTCAACGCTGCTGCGCGCAAATTTAATAAAGCGATAATGTAATTGTAAGGTTAATATTGTGGTAGCGAAAATATGAAAATATAATAATGCAATCCGGATCTGGATCGCCGACTTGGTTGTTGCCGTCGGGATCTGAGATCACTCTTGGCCGCCTATATCTCAAACCCCACGTTCACTATGCTTTTAACATAAGCATTGCCTCTCTACCTAGATCCTTCACTCAACGGTGGAAGCATAAATACAAACTATCATGGAGTTACTCGTATCACGGACTAACCCGAGTTTACCCTATTATTGTAACCTTTGTATTAGTATAATATACATTTTGTGTACCAGTTTACCATTATTGGCCTCAATAATAGGCTATCCTGGAAGCGTCCATGATGCGCGTGTATGGCACAATTCACCATTAGGAAAAAAAGAATTCGTGAAACACCCTTTGAACTCTTTCCAGATACGAATATTTTGGGGGATTCGGCGTACAAATGTACTAACTACTTGTTAACACCATATAAAGATAACGGTCACTTAACACGAAAGCAGAGAAATTTTAATTACAAACTTTCCTCCACTAGAGTGTTTATTGAGCAATGTTACGGCTTACTTAAAGGCCGATTCCGAATATTAAAACACGTAGGTAAATGTATATAAGACCCGTCTTACACGAGTCATAATTATGGCCACAATTGTGATAAAAATTTGAAGTATATTTGTGTTCTTAAAATTATGTTTACGAGAACTATACCGCCCTTTACACGTTGTCAAACTATGGATATAATTATGATAAAAAATATAGGGAAATTCTGTATTCAGCTGTTGGAAATCTAGGGATTTTTTTGAATGGCAGCAATGTACAGTCTCTTGTAAAAGTAATGTCCCTCGGATACCTACCACTGTAGCATAGGCAACCAACATCCCAGCCCACTAGTCCAAGTTGGATTTGCGGGTGTGGGAGGTAGGTAGGTATCTAATGCGGTTCGTTTTCAGCAGGTATTCCCACTTTGCCAAACTAAAAATAAGTTAGTAGAATGAAAATGAATGGCATCGATTTATTAGCTCAAAAGATCTGCGCTGCTTTAACGTATCCTTGGTTTAATACAATAGAAATTTTTACATTTCTTTCAATTGGTTTGGTGCATTTTAAATTTGGAAATTGTTTAGCTAAAATAATGACCTTTTACTTTTAATTTTTTCGAGTAGATTTTCTTCTAACAAAATAAATGTGATGATTTTGTCGTTTTATACTGACTACTGACATTGAAATTGAAGTCTCATTATTAATTACTCGGGCCTCCTAATGGAATGCGATTATCTGCACTGGAAGCGCAACAATGCCGTTCCTTTTGTAACTACCACCTCCCACTCCTTTCAAACCCCGGGATGGCATCCGCGGAAAAATTCAGTTGTTTTATTTTTCCCTAATTTCTAATCATTTCACCTGCATGAAAAAGCCGGTTTAACTGAAAACTAATTTTTTTGTCAAAAAATATTATACCTATAACCTGGACTAAATATCCTTATAATACGCCTACCTACTCAAAAATATGCAACGTAAAAGCTCTCCTAAACTAAATTCGATATTAAATCAACCACGACCAAGTATCACAAATGCATATCATTTAATTTCTGATGCTAGTTACAAAAGAAAGGTATTGTTGCACAGTGCACTTGTAGGGCAATTAATCGCATTCCATGAGGAGACCTACTCGCAAGTAATTATTAATGACACTGGAATTTCAATGTCATTAAAGGACAAGAATATCTCCTTTATTTCGTTAGAAGAAAACCTACTCAAAAAATTAAAAAGTGAAAGGCCATTATTTTGTCTTAATAGTCTCTAGCTAAACTATTTGCAAATTTAAAACGCACCAAACCAATTGTAAGAAATGTAAAAATGTTTACTGCACCAAGCCAAGGATATGCAGCGCAGATCCTTTGAGCTAATAAATCGATGGCATTCACTTTTATTCTACTAACTAGTATTTAGTTTGGCTAAATGGGAATATCTGCTGAAAATGAACCGCATTAGATACCTACCTACCTCCCACACCCGCAAATCCAACTTGGACTAGGCGGCTGGGATGTTGGTTGCCTATGCTACAGTGGTAGGTATCTGAGGGACATTACTTTTACAAGAGACTGTACATACTACATAACCAAAAATAATATACCACATTCAGTTTTCACTATTCTCTGTCACTATTAACGGTTTTGTGCAATAAGCAATTTCTTGTGATTGTAGCAAATAACAATCTTTTAATAAATGTCGTGGTCAAGAGAGCAGGTCACCATGCTCATTGAAGTGTACAAAAATCACCCTTGCTTGTATGTGGTTAAATCCCCACAATACAAAAACAAGCATGCGAGAAATGCTGCCTTAACAGACATCTGTTCAAAGTTGGAGGCAGTGAAAGCAGGTGTAACGATTGCAGATGTAAAAAATAAGTTTGCAGCTCTTCGACAAAATTTCTTAGTGGAATATCGTAAACACGAAAACTCCATGAAAAGTGGAAGCGGTACAGACCAGGTAAATGCAAATCTACATTGCAACAAATCGTATAGTTCTAAAAATGTATGTTTTAAGGTGTATATACCTACCATTTGGTATTATGATTTAATGCTGTTTGTTTTGGAGCATTCAATTGCAAAGACAGCCATTTATGATAGCATCCCCAAGCCTCTTTCACCTTCTCTTTCATCAGACAGTAATATTGAATCGTTGGAATTTACGGACATTTCACAATTAGAGGTTGTTTATGAAGACGAACCAGACGATTCACAAACTGAAGAGGTATTTCCTTATATTTGTCAATAAGTATAATGTTTCGGTAAATAAATGTACTTTAGGAACCTGTCAATGGAGGCGCCTCAAATGTGCATGTAATTGAACAGACGCCACAAACCAGCCGACCACAATCTCAACTAAAGAGAAAAAAGGGGAATGAAATCGACTATTTAGCAGATGCCAGCAGAGCGATAAATGAAATTGCTAATGCAGTTGCACGCAAGAAGCCTGATGTTAGCACTATCAAGGCGGATAGGATTGATGTCTTTCTTAAGTACATTGAACCAAAATTACGCCGCATCAAGAATGACGATTTGTTAGATAAAATAGAAAGCGATATTGTACATATAATTTCCAAGAATTTCAAATAAAATCTGAGTGATCCTATATACATATATATACACTTATTCAAATTGTATGATTAACAATTGTGTCTTAAAACTGCTGCATCCTGCCACTCTACACTGCCAGTAGGA